AAAAAATGAATAAAGAAATGAATTTTGATTTAATTTTGATTAAAAAATGATTTTTTTATTTTTTGAAAATAAAGAAAGAAATGGGCCCATATGGGACTTAAAGTGCGACGATTTTGACCCAAAAATAATAGTTTAAAAAGAATTTTTAATAAAAATTAGGAGTCGTCACTTGGTATGAATTTTTAGCCAATAAAAAAAAAATTTTTAGGAGACGCATTAGCTGCATCTCAGTTGGGCCAAGACTTTGTACACGCTGATGAGACTTCACTCCCACGTAGGATTAAAAAGCTCCTGAGGTTAGATAGGTTAACGATTCCGTCTGTTAGGAGTTAGTGCCCTTCCTTCCATCGACTCCTTCGTGTAATCATTCATTTTCTTATCAATAAAATGAGACAGTTTATATATATAAAAAAAAGGTGTACCAAGTTACCTAAAATAAATATTTAAACAAAAAGTAGAGACAACCCTTTTTAGACGACTCCAAGTCTGCGAAAATCAAGATAAAAAGGATCGGGAATCACATTTGAAGAAAGGGAAGGCAAGGATAAAATTCAAAACACCCTTTCAATCTAGCCAAGGCTAGTTGCGTGATTTAATCAAAAATTTTTTTTATTTTGACCTATGAATTTATCACATTTGGATATCACTATATGGATGCAAAGCCCTAACCCTAGGAGGATATTGGGAGGGGGTCAAAATATCTCTACAAAACTTAATTGGTGCAAATCACATTAATCGTGATGCCCAAAAATGACTCTTTGAAGAGGTCACGAATATGCAAAAATATGAGACTCGAAGGAAAAAAAAAAGAAAATAATAATTATACAAATATACATGACCTAAGGGAATGCATCATAATGGGTCCGGAGTACTAATATTCGTGACTTAATTTTCCATTTTATAGAGGGAATACGAGCGTGCTAAGGCTAAGAAGCCACACTCGTCCATATCTCATATTTGAGAGATATTTCCTATCTAATTAATCAAATGATCTAACCAATTTCTAATTTTTCTTAAATGAAATGCAAGTCTAATGTCATGTTTCACACATGGGGGTAAGGAATATACATATAAGGGAAATATGGGATAAGGGATATACATATAAGGGAATATAGGATAAGGGATATACATATAAGGGAAATATGGGATAAGGGATATACATATAAGGGAATATAGGATAAGGGATATACATATAAGGGAAATGTCATGCAAAAATGATAAAACCCTAAAAAGTGAAAAATATGCATTAAAATGTGGTGATTGTCACACAAATATGATCTAACGCAAGAACGATCCCTAAGGTATAGCATTGGACTAGCCAATGTCTATAAGTTCTCATTAGTATTGGACTAGTGAGAAATCGAAAAAAGGGACCACAACTAGTGTTGGACTAGTGTGGTATCGGAAAAAGGGGGCCACAACTAGCGTTGGACTAGTGTGGTGATGTCATGCATTTATTACAATCAAATAAATCATGTACAACATAATAAAGCAATTAAACACATAAATCACATAAGCATGATATCTAGATACAAGACCCTAAGAAAGCGAGTAACAGGTAAACACATAAGCATGCAAAACACACAAGGCAAATAAAGCAAATAAAACCCTAACTGTTACATTTGGGGCCCTAACTACAATCTAAAGGGGGTAAAGAATGAAATAAAATAATAACCTAACTATTACAATTTTGGCATTTAATTGCCTTCCAAATAATTACAAATTAAATTAAAATAAATATACAAAATCGAAACAATTAAAGTGACTAAATAAATAAATGAAAATAAAATAAAACATTCAAAAATCATGCAATTACACACATAAAATCACATAGGATCAAATAAAAATAAAGGATAGAGTATACCTCTCTTGAATTGGTGACCTAAGGAAATGGAAATTTTCTTATTTACCCTCCAAAAAATAAATAAAAAGGTCAAGGTATCACTTTAATTAACAAATAATCATAAAAGATGAAAATAAACATGAAATTGAATCAATTAAATCATGTAAACGACATACATTTAAGAAATTAAAGCAAGCAGGGACTAAATTGTAAAACTTAATAAAGTTTTGGGGGTCAAATTATAATTATCACAAAGATTCTGGGTCACAATTAAAGAGAAATAACGTTTAGGATCTATTTACAATTAATTTAGGGACCTAATTGAAAGAAGTAAAAAGTTTTTGGGCCATAGTGAAAATACTCAAAAGTTAGGGGACTGAAATGAAATTTCGTTATCAGACTTTTTGACTTAACAGGCCATTTTTCCTATTTTCTTGGGCTAAAGCTTCCCAAGCCCAACCGAAAGTCCAATGCAAAAGGAGTGGGCCAGTCTATTATTTTTATCAAGTAAACCCAATGAAAAATGCATGGGTTTTAATTAATCCCCAAGCCCAAATTACAAACCCAGGAAATAAACAAACAAAACCCAATCAAAACAGGCAAACCCACCATCAAGACCCAATTAAATTAAACCTAATCCAATTCTCAACTAATTTTTGTTAAACCCAACAAAATAATAAGATAACTAAAAAGTATTAAAACCTAATCATACCATAAATCTCAGAATTAATCAACCTAACAACTCACTGAAGATATAAAAGGAGGATTAAAACTTAAAAGGGCCAAATTATTTCGATTTTTTTATTCTTTTTGGAGCACAGTGAAATTAGACAGAAATTAAGGGGTTAAATTGCAAATTTTCAGAAATTTATGCTTCATGCTTCGCAGAAGCTTTCTTCTTCGATGCAACTGAAAGGGAAAAGCTTCTGCAACCTCTAATGCTTAAAAAATCCAACAGCTTTACACGGCAAAACACCACACCATTGCAAGATACAAAAGCAGCGACAATGAAAAACAACTCAAAAAATCATTTGGCTTCTCTCCCCTCCCCAACTGGTGAAACGCACAGGTTCTGGCCAGCTTTGGACTGGCCCGGTTCCTCTTGAATGCAAACAGAAAATGCATAAGATTTACTCTTTTGGTTCGAGATTCTTGTTTGGGCATTTTATCAAACAGGTTAGGGGTATTAGAAACTTCATCAATTCTTTATTCCATTGAAACTATAATCGGCCCCAAAATTGTCAGCAACAAAAGGGATTTCAATTCCAATCAACATATAAAATATCCATATTTCGACATCGTGTATAATCAGCAAAACATCGTAATGAACCAATTTAGGAAAAGAACGTGCTTTGAGAGCTTCGAAAATCTGAGCTTGAAGAGAAAAATGAAATTTTAAAGGAAGAAGATGACTTACAGTACCTTCTCGGTGAAGATTTGCAGGCGGTAATGGAAAATTCCGGAACTAGCAACAAGCTTCAACCTCTCAGTCCGCCGCCCTTTTTCTTCGTTTGGTTTCTTGTTTTTCTAGCCTTTTTCCATCCTCTCCCTCTATCACTCTTGCTCTCTTTCGTTTTTGTCCCGAAGCTCTTTCCCAATTTTCCAGATTTTCCCTTTCGCTTGCTCTGTTTTCTTGCTCCTAAGCTCTCTCTTCAATCCGCCCCCCTGTTTCTTCCTTGTCCGCCGCCCCTCTGTTTTTCTCCTTTCCTTTGCTCTGTTTTTTTTTCAGTCGAAAGCCTCCTCTCTTTTTTTCTATCTTTCTTTCTTTTGCCTTTTTCCTCTCTGCCTAGCCGCCAAGCCTTTCCCCGTTTCTTTTTTTTTCCTTCTTTTCCCAAGCGCGTGGCTCTCTCTTTTCCTTTGGTCTTTTGTGTTCTCAAAATTTCCAAATTATCCTAAACTTTCAAGTGTCTAGCCACCTAACCCCCCTTGCATGTGTTGTCAACCAAGAATGAGGACACTTGTCCTATTTGCATGCACTCCACTTGTCTAATATCCCTCTAATACACTTGTCTAATGATTCCCTAATACACTTGTTTTCTTATTTTTATTTATTTATTATATATTTTTTCCAAAATCAATTTAGGTAAACAACAAAAAATGTTAACTCCTAATTGTAAATACATTGCACAATTTTTATTTATCTTAAAAAAATGAATCTATAAGGTTTAAAGACAAATTTTAAATTTTTGCGAGAATTTTTCCTTTTTTAGAAATTTAATGCAAAAATACCTTAAAATGAAAATAATAAACCTAATTTATAAAAAATAAACAAAAATAAACACTAATTATCATTTAATCAAAAAGAATAAAATAAAATAAGATAAAACAAGAATAATAATTATAAATTTAATTTGATAAATGAAATTTTGGTGTCTACATCGAGGATTCCCCGTTGTCCCTGTAGGGTGACGTACACTTACCCTAATGAGCTGGTATTATCCCTTGACGATGAGCGTCTGTGAGGACTCGCAAAATTTACTTATTTAATCTCCTATTTCTCGCTTATTTAATTATTTATTTGGCCTTTTACTCCGAATATTATTTTCTAAGCTCTTGAGACCTAATTACATGGAAATATAGTTTCATTATATTTTTAAAATGACTTGTTTCAAAAATTAATTTCCGGAAGCTCGTTTAGTGAAAATAGTGAACACGTCTTTGGAAACCTTGACTGATTGAGAGTACAATAAGTTTGGAATATTGGAGATTTGTATAATAGACCTAAATTAGGTATTTTAATGTTTAAATACTCAAGTGATAGTTATTAGTATTATCGTTATAAGAATTTCTCGGAAGTTTCGCGTTATCGCGCTCAGATTGGAGATACGCGTTTTGACACGCGTGATTTTAATTTAGGAACTTTAGACCCTTATTTTGAGATAATTAAGAGTGAATGATATTTATACGAATATAAGTGCATTAGAGGTTTAGTGCACTAGCGAAACAAACGCGAGAGGAATCGAGCACGAAACGCGCGCGAGTGCGCGCGGTAGTAGGGTTGACTTTTGCACAATTATGGGCCACACAAATGAACCTTCTCTTGGAAGCTAAAATCTGATCACTCTCTCTCTCTCTTGCTTCCTCATCTGGCCGGCTAACAAAGGAGAAAAACAACTCCAATTCCATCCTAATTTCTTCACCAAATCTTCTCCATTTCACTTCAAATTTCAACCACTCTTAGCTAATTACTTGGAGATTACATCAAGCTAAGAAAGAGGGCTGCTATCCACGTTTTTCTTGAGCATCTAAGGGGCCGAAATTTCTGCCTTCATCCTCTAATCAAGTAGGTGTTAATCCAACACTTAAATCTTGCTTTATGAAGATCATCTTACATGTATAAGGTAGTATTTGCATTTGGGTAGCTTGTTTATGGTGTAAAATGAAATGGGTGGGCTCTATGAACTCCCACCTTTGTCTTGAGGACTGATCTCATGCTTGATGATGGATTTAATGGTGGTTTAGTGCTTAAATTAGTGGATTAATGTTGTATTGTTGGTAGAAAATCATAGGAGGTGCTTGGAGCAAAAGTGACCGATTTACCCCTGTCTTGTCCGACCATTTTGTGCACAATTTTGAGGTTCTAATGACTTGATTATATTGTTTACATGTTAGTGTGAGTGTGTACAAAATTTCAATGAAAAATAACATGATTTGGTTGGTCAAATGAGTTGATTTCCAAAGTTAGCAAAACTGGAAAATGAATCCCGTATTGCCCAGGCAGTCATTTTGTATCGGCTATAACTCTTTGCTCCGATGTCGAAATCAAGTGCCGTTTGTGGCATTGGAAACTAGACATTCCCAGATTTCCATTGGTACCAATTTCACGTTCTGGTTCCACTGGAGTGAGCAACACCATTCGATTGAAAGTCACTGTCCTGTTTCGTTTCTCTCCAGGAGACAGGACAGGACTTGTATCTTGATGCTCAAAAACGAGCTGTTTGTGAATGGAATTTGAAAATGGTTTCTTCTGAGAAAATTCAGCTTTATGAGACAGATTTCCAACGCCATCAACCACGCCCAATTCCAAGTTGAATTGAGTGAGTTGTGGCCAAAGTTTGAAACAGCTACAGTGATAGAATTTTCCACTTGGACAGATTTGTAACTAACAATGATTTGGGACTTGTTATTTCGAAATTCTTGATGTAAATCACCTATCAAATGTATTTTGAATTCTTGCTAGACCTGATTATCATAAATGAGACATGTTTTAGGTATCTTCCCTTGGTCAAAAGTTTAGAAAAGGAAATTTTCATACACGAGGCAGCTTTGCCTTAAAAATTTGGAAACTTGAGTGATTTCGTTAAGTGACTTTCCGTGGATATTTTTCTATGAAATTTGACAGAGGAATATCCCTTATATGGTAGTATAATCATACCAAATTTGGTGCCATTTCGAGTCTGTTTAGATGTTCAAACAAAGTCCCAAAGTTCATGTTTAAATCTGGAAATTCTTGATCGAGGAGGAATTTTTAGCCAACTTTGAGCTGCTATATCTTGGCACTCAAAACTTCAATTCTTGTACCGTTTGTTTTGTTTTAAACTTTGATTGTAGGTCTATTTGAGTTCTAAATTTCGGAGGTTAGTTCGTATTGTATGAATTTTGCCGGATTTCCAAAGATGGTCAAAAACCAACCCCGAAACTGTCTAAATGGTCCCAAGCAGCAACTTTGAGTCAATTTTTGAATACCTTCTGTTTGGAATCATGGAAAAGTATCTTCTAGGAACTTTTATCGCTTTTGAAGAAGTTTCCAACGGTATCAAGCTTTCCAATTTTGGACCTACATAGTGCAAGATACGATTTTTCTAAAATTGACACCCAAAGCTGAAATTTGTCAATTTCTTAGAAAATGAGATTTTGGAAACTTGCCTTCTTTTCTCGATACCGATTGAACATTTTGAACTCGATTTCATGGAAAATATTAGTCTCTCTCTTTAGACTTTAAAACTTTACTCTTGAGCCTCGATTATTAATAATTAAGGCCCAATTAATGAATTCCCCTTAGATTGTATAACCTTCTTTGATAAGTAGGGGTTCTAAGTGATAGTGTATAATAGTTAATGGTTATTTGCCCAGGCGCTCAAGGGGACCTTCAAGAGGAACTCGAAGTGGACGCCTAGACATTGTTTGAGTATTACTCTCTTGTTGCTATAGGTGAGTGTTCCATATAGGAATACGTAATTGGAATAAGTCTATGACATGCATAACCCATGATTATTAAGTGTTAAGTGCTATATGTTAAGTATTTACCACACTCATGCATATCTGAATAAGGTATACTTTAATTACTCGACATGAAATACCTGAAATATGTATATTTGAACTATTCGATATGAAACACTTGAAGAGCATATTTACGTGACTACTTGAACTATTCGATATGAAATGCTTAAAGAGCATATTTATGTGATTACTTGAAATACTAGATATGAAATGCTTGGAGAGCATATCTACATGATGTGTTTAAATGATTAATTATGCTATGACAGCATAAGTAGGTTGGAGTGAATCTCCTCGACTCTTACGTTGAAAAGTGAAAACGGTCAATGGTGGCCTATTAAAATGACATATGTCTACCAATTAACCGTAATTACCACCGTTAACCGTTTACCGTTAACCATGTTTACTTACCGTTTTCTAATCTATTCGGCTACTTGCTTACTTGATTATCTGCTTACGTGATCACCAACCTACTTGATCACTTGATTATCATGAATCGCATGTTATATGAAGCTGACCATCATTGTTAGGCGAGCGTGTACTTTATCTCACTCGACCTACTCAAATGATGAATTTTACCTTTTGCCGAATTACTTGATTACTTGTGCATGTTGTAAGCTCTAAGCTGAACTGGGCCCTGCTCATGGTTACTAACCTACTCGAGCCAGGACTGGGCTCGGTCGGGTAGGTTGGAACCTTGGGACACCGTTTCGGTATACTCGAGTATTACCACTGGAGGGATAAGGTGATGGCCAGTCAAACCGAGGGGATCCGGAAGTCATAAGGTGCAGATGACCGACAGAGTTCCACTGGAACACCGTATCCTTCAATGTGTGTTTATTTTACATAATGATAACCGTTTTATGAAAACGTGCCATACCTATGATATGCTCAAATTACCTGTACAATGATTATTGTCTCATGATAACACGCCATTATGTAACCTTGAACCATGCATATGATATGCCTAACTTACTTGATTTATTTGAACTGTTAGAGTGTCTTGGAACCTCACTGGGCTGTGTAGCTCATACCACGTTGTGGATTTTTTTTCAGGGTTAGAGACCAAGGGTGCTCGTGAGTAGTACTAGATTGTTCTCTTTTGAAGACTTTGAGTTACATTATAACGGATGGCTACAGTACTCTTTTCCGTTGGATTGTATTTAAGTTTGAAAGCTACATAGTTGTAAGTGTAAGATATTTGAAGTACTTTAATTATGTATTGAAGTTACTTATAGTATTTCGAGCTCTTGAATGATGGATTGTAGTGAGTCCTGGCGAGAGCTGGGCAGGCGTCCCGCGGATACCCTTTGGTTCGCCTTAGGGAGAAGTGGGGCGTTACAGTTGGTATCAGAGCTTAGGCTTCAGATCTTTGTAGTGTATCCTAAGCTTAAATGTTTAGGATGCCGGACTGTGGGACTATTCTGAAAGTTAAATGATTGCTGGTAGCGATGAAATTTAGAGCCACTTCACGTGATCTCTACATAGGAGCAAGATAGGGCCAAGTGGTGTTATGGTCCTTACTATGTGATTGAGTAAAGGTTTAAGTGCCCTTCTAAAAATGTAAGCTGTGAATCATGAATGTTATAGGTTGTAAAACCTTTATCTTGATAATTGGAGGGAATTTGATATGTATGTTGGGTAGGAATCTCGAATGTGGTGATTTACTCTTGGGACCGGCCGGCTCGAGTTGTGAATTACCTTATTTCGGATTCTTGTACCCGAGTACTTGAGAGTTGAGGGCAACCATAAGGACTTTATATCTCCATTTTTGGGGAATAAGAATGAATCGATATTTCATGTGAACGGTTACAGGAAACCAATAATTGTTTGGTTAAGATGGTACAATAATTAAGCGTGGAAGTTGGAAAGTATCGTAACCCAAAAGATCCTTGTGTTGGGATTGAAATCGAGCATGTTAGGGAACGAGAATCATCTAGTTTCAATTAATCTAGTGGATCCCTACTTGTGATCTTTCATAGTGAGACGATGGGAGTAGAACCTAAGAGTTTGCGCCTTGGAGATGAATGTACTGGTGATAATCATTTGTTTATGTTTGTTATTGACTTTGACTTGGCATGAACTTTACTTGACCATAATTTGTGTTATGATTTAATGAACTCTAGTTTGTGTTTACTTGCATAGTGATAATGTTATTTGTGTAAGTGACTTCATCATCTTTAAATGTTGCTACTGGTATATGAGTATAGTTCAATTTTAGCTAAGTGTGAGGTTTATGCATGTGCGTATAGACTAGCTGTGAACATGGAAACTAGAGGACAACGAAAGGGACGTCAACCTAGACAACCCCGAAATGAAAGAGTAGCTATTGGGTCCGATATTGATCAAAACGTTGGGAGAGGAAATGACCAAATAGGACAAGTTTTAACTCGCATGACGGATATACTAGAGCTCTTAGTAGCTCAACAAGGTCAAGGTGATGGACAAGGAAATCAACGTGGAAACCAAGATATAGGGGAGGATCGAGCTTTAGAGCGGTTTCGGAAATTTTCCCCACGCAAGTTTGCTGGAGGACCTGATCCAGAGGTGGCTGAGAATTGGTTAGAGAATATAAGAAATATATTCGATGCCTTGGATTACACAGAGGAGAGACAAGTCACCTTTGCTGTATTTCAACTTGAAGGAGCAGCCAAGCATGGTGGAATGTTGTAAGAAACAAGTGGGAAAGGGATCAAACCCTAAGGACTTGGATAAACTTTGTACGTGAATTTAATGAGAAATTTCTTCCTCCACTTGTCCAAGAAAAGAGAGAAGATGATTTTATAAAGCTTCGTCAAGGAACTTTGAGCGTAGCTGAGTATGAAACACGCTTTACGAAATTATCTACATATGCCCCAGAATTGGTGGCTACTGAACGGAAGAGAATAAGAAGGTTTATCCAAGGATTAGATTTGGAAATCCAAGATGCCCTTGCTGCAGCACAGGTTGAAACATTTAGTGACGCTCTCGAAAAAGCGCAAAGGGTAGAAAGCACAAAATCTCAACTGAGAGCTTTTCAAGAAAGGAAAAGAGATGCATCTGACAGTACACTAGGAGAAAATGGACCACCACCCAAAGTTAGAAAAGAAGTGGATGGAGTAGGACTGTTATTTCCTGCACCACTCATGATAAAGGAACCAAAAGGAACTATGTCGCGAAAGACTTCAGTAGAACAGACACGATCAAAGAAAACCTCGCAAGCCAGTCAGGTCACAACACCTCGTCCGACTTGTGGATATTGCGGAAGGACGAATCACACTGAAGAAAACTGTTGGTTAAAGGGACGAAAGTGTATGGGGTGTGGGAGTACCAACCATAAAGTTCATGACTGTCCAATGAGGTATCCACGACAAGGAAATGGAACTGTCCCTTGACAAGTCAATGGAAAGAGAAACCGATCAGTGGCATCTGAAAGAACGCATGACATGAACACACCACACGGTTCAAAGTTGTCTGAGATTACAGAAGGTATGAATTTCGAGGACGAAATTCTTTTAAGGAGGGGAGGTTGTGAGGACTTGCAAAATTTACTTATTTAATCTCCTATTTCTCGCTTATTTAATTATTTATTTGGCCTTTTACTCCGAATATTATTTTCTAAGCTCTTGAGACCTAATTACATGGAAATATAGTTTCATTATATTTTTAAAATGACTTGTTTCAAAAATTAATTTCCGGAAGCTCGTTTAGTGAAAATAGTGAACACGTCTTTGGAAATCTTGACTGATTGAGAGTACAATAAGTTTGGAATATTGGAGATTTGTATAATAGACCTAAATTAGGTATTTTAATGTTTAAATACTCAAGTGATAGTTATTAGTATTATCGTTATAAGAATTTCTCGGAAGTTTCGCGTTATCGCGCTCAGATTGGAGATACGCGTTTTCACACGCGTGATTTTAATTTAGGAACTTTAGACCCTTATTTTGAGATAATTAAGAGTGAATGATATTTATATGAATATAAGTGCATTAGAGGTTTAGTGCACTAGTGAAACAAACGCGAGAGGAATCGAGCACGAAACGCGCGCGAGTGCGCGCGTTAGTAGGGTTGACTTTTGCACAATTATGGGCCACACAAATGAACCTTCTCTTGGAAGCTAAAATCTGATCACTCTCTCTCTCTCTTGCTTCCTCATCTGGCCGGCTAACAAAGGAGAAAAACAACTCCAATTCCATCCTAATTTCTTCACCAAATCTTCTCCATTTCACTTCAAATTTCAACCACTCTTAGCTAATTACTTGGAGATTACATCAAGCTAAGAAAGAGGGCTGCTATCCACGGTTTTCTTGAGCATCTAAGGGGCCGAAATTTCTGCCTTCATCCTCTAATCAAGTAGGTGTTAATCAACACTTAAATCTTGCTTTATGAAGATCATCTTACATGTATAAGGTAGTATTTGCATTTGGGTAGCTTGTTTATGGTGTAAAATGAAATGGGTGGGCTCTATGAACTCCCACCTTTGTCTTGAGGACTGATCTCATGCTTGATGATGGATTTAATGGTGGTTTAGTGCTTAAATTAGTGGATTAATGTTGTATTGTTGGTAGAAAATCATAGGAGGTGCTTGGAGCAAAAGTGACCGATTTACCCCTGTCTTGTCCGACCATTTTGTGCACAATTTTGAGGTTCTAATGACTTGATTATATTGTTTACATGTTAGTGTGAGTGTGTACAAAATTTCATTGAAAAATAACATGATTTGGTTGGTCAAATGAGTTGATTTCCAAAGTTAGCAAAACTGGAAAATGAATCCCGTATTGCCCAGGCAGTCATTTTGTATCGGCTATAACTCTTTGCTCCGATGTCGAAATCAAGTGCCGTTTGTGGTATTGGAAACTAGACATTCCCATATTTCCATTGGTACCAATTTCACGTTCTGCTTCCACTTGAGTGAGCAACACCATTCGATTGAAAGTCACTGTCCTGTTTCGTTTCTCTCCAGGAGACAGGACAGGACTTGTATCTTTATGCTCAAAAACGAGCTGTTTTTGAATGGAATTTGATAATGGTTTCTTCTGAGAAAATTTAGCTTTATGAGAGAGCTTTCCAACGCCATCAACCACGCCCAATTCCAAGTTGAATTGAGTGAGTTGTGGCCAAAGTTTGAAACAGCTACAGTGATAGAATTTTCCACTTGGACAGATTTGTAACTAACAATGATTTGGGACTTGTTATTTCGAAATTCTTGATGTAAATCACCTATCAAATGTATTTTGAATTCTTGCTAGACCTGATTATCATAAATGAGACATGTTTTAGGTATCTTCCCTTGGTCAAAAGTTTAGAAAAGGAAATTTTCATACACGAGGCAGCTTTGCCTTAAAAATTTGGAAACTTGAGTGATTTCGTTAAGTGACTTTCCGTGCATATTTTTCTATGAAATTTGACAGAGGAATATCCCTTATATGGTAGTATAATCATACCAAATTTGGTGCCATTTCGAGTCTGTTTAGATGTTCAAACAAAGTCCCAAAGTTCATGTTTAAATCTGGAAATTCTTGATCGAGGAGGAATTTTTAGCCAACTTTGAGCTGCTATATCTTGGCACTCAAAACTTCAATTCTTGTACCGTTTGTTTTGTTTTAAACTTTGATTGTAGGTCTAATTGAGTTCTAAATTTCGGAGGTTAGTTCGTATTGTATGAATTTTGCCGGATTTCCAAAGATGGTCAAAAACCAACCCCGAAACTGTCTAAATGGTCCCAAGCAGCAACTTTGAGTCAATTTTTGAATACCTTCTGTTTGGAATCATGGAAAAGTATCTTCTAGGAACTTTTAGCGCTTTTGAAGAAGTTTCCAACGGTATCAAGCTTTCCAATTTTGGACCTACATAGTGCAAGATACGATTTTTCTAAAATTGACACCCAAAGCTGAAACTTGTCAATTTCTTAGAAAATGAGATTTTGGAAACTTGCCTTCTTTTCTCGATACCGATTGAACATTTTGAACTCGATTTCATGGAAAATATTAGTCTCTCTCTTTAGACTTTAAAACTTTACTCTTAAGCCTCGATTATTAATAATTAAGGCCCAATTAATGAATTCCCCTTAGATTGTATAACCTTCTTTGATAAGTAGGGGTTCTAAGTGATGGTGTATAATAGTTAATGGTTATTTGCCCAGGCGCTCAAGGGGACCTTCAAGAGGAACTCGAAGTGGACGCCTAGACATTGTTTGAGTATTACTCTCTTGTTGCTATAGGTGAGTGTTCCATATAGGAATACGTAATTGGAATAAGTCTATGACATGCATAACCCATGATTATTAAGTGTTAAGTGCTATATGTTAAGTATTTACCACACTCATGCATATCTGAATAAGGTATACTTGAATTACTCGACATGAAATACCTGAAATATGTATATTTGAACTATTCGATATGAAACAGTTTAAGAGCATATTTACGTGACTACTTGAACTATTCAATATGAAATGCTTAAAGAGCATATTTATGTGATTACTTGAAATACTAGATATGAAATGCTTGGAGAGCATATCTACATGATATGTTTAAATGATTAATTATGCTATGACAGCATAAGTAGGTTGGAGTGAATCTCCTCGACTCTTATGTTGAAAAGTGAAAACGGCCAATGGTGGCCTATTAAAATGACATATGTCTACCAATTAACCGTAATTACCACCGTTGACCGTTTACCGTTAACCATGTTTACTTACCGTTTTCTAATCTATTCGGATACTTGCTTACTTGATTATCTGCTTACGTGATCACCAACTTACTTGATCACTTGATTATCATGAATCGCATGTTATATGAAGCTGTCCATCATTGTTAGGCGAGTGTGTACTTTATCTCACTCGACCTACTCAAATGATGAATTTTACCTTTTGCCGAATTACTTGATTACTTGTGCATGTTGTAAGCTCTAAGCTGAACTGGGCCCTGCTCATGGTTACTAACCTACTCGAGCCAGGACTGGGCTCGGTCGGGTAGGTTGGAACCTTGGGACACCGTTTCGGTATACTCTAGTATTACCACTGGAGGGATAAGGTGATGGCCAGTCAAACCGAGGGGATCCGGAAGTCATAAGGTGCAGATGACCGACAGAGTTCCACTGGAACACCGTATCCTTCAATGTGTGTTTATTTTACATAATGATAACCATTTTATGAAAACGTGCCATACCTATGATATGCTCAAATTACCTGTACAATGATTATTGTCTCATGATAACACGCCATTATGTAACCTTGAACCATGCATATGATATGCCTAACTTACTTGATTTATTTGAACTGTTAGAGTGTCTTGGAACCTCACTGGGCTGTGTAGCTCATACCACGTTGTGGATTTCTTTTCAGGGTTAGAGACCAAGGGTGCTCGTGAGTAGTACTAGATTGTTCTCTTTTGAAGACTTTGAGTTACATTATAACGGATGGCTATAGTACTCTTTTCCGTTGGATTGTATTTAAGTTTGAAAGCTACATAGTTGTAAGTGTAAGATATTTGAAGTACTTTAATTATGTATTGAAGTTACTTATAGTATTTCGAGCTCTTGAATGATGGATTGTAGTGAGTCCTGGCGAGAGCTGGGCAGGCGTCCCGCGGATACTCTTTGGTTCGCCTTAGGGAGAAGTGGGGCGTTACAGCGTCGGCAGTTAGTGAATACCAACAGAGCCTTACTTCAGGAGGTCAAGGAGCTAAGCGTCATGGTTGATACTCAGGGTGCTAGGATTGCGGAGTTAGAGGAGACAGTAGTTGGTGAGTTGGCTAAGACTGAGGCCGCTCGTGATGAGTTTCAGAGGACTAGAGCTTGATTGATTAGAGTAGTCGAGAAGATTCGTGATCAGGGGGCCGCTGGGATCTTGGCTGACACCACTATATTGATCGAGGAGGTCATAGATGCTGTTCAGATCCCGGTTCCTGAGGGTACTCCTGAGAAGGAGCCTTTCGAGAAGGATCCGGAGGAGGACTCAGAGGAGGAGGCCCCGCCTGACGGTCCTGCTGAGGATTAGATTTGGAGTGATGACTCTTTTGACTTTGGTAGATAGAATTAGCTGGGGTGACGCTTGTATAGCTCTTGACGTCTATTGCATGACTAATTGCACTTTTGTGGCACATGTGTGCTATATTTTTGTAAATGCCCAATGACTTGCTGATCATGTATGAATTTTTAATTGTTAATAAATGCTAGTTATTTCAAATACTTTCCACATTGGCTTGTATTTTAAATATTTTCTTGCGTAATGATTTTATTTCTTGCATTTAGACATAACTAGGATTATGGATGGACAAAAGAGCGGTAGAGGTCGAGGGCGTGGCACTAGACAAACCCAACCTCAAGGGGATGATCAAGGATCGGCAACTGGGCCGACCCAAGGATAAGAAAATGTAGAGGGTAACCAAGTGACTACTGCCATCAATCACATGAAGGATATATTAGAGCGATTAGCAGAGCGAGAAGGTCCATGACTTAATAATCAACTTGGAGCTCAGGATAGAGGGGATGATAGGGATTTGGAGAGATTTTTGAAATTTGTTCCGCCTAAGTTTATTGGAGGACCTGATCCTGAGTTAGCGGATAACTAGTTGGAGAGAATGACCAATATATTTGCTGCTCTAGACTATACTGAAGAGAGACGAGTGAATTTTGCTGCCTTTCAATTTGAGGGTGTAGCACGTGCTTGGTGGGATGTGGTAAGGGAAAAATGGAAAAGTGCGCAGACCCCTTGGACCTGGGAGAACTTTACCAGGGAGTTTAATGAGAAATTTCTTCTGCCCTTGATTCAAGAGAAAAGGGAGGACGAATTCATAAAGTTGAGGCAGGGAGTTTTTAGTGTGGCGGAATATGAAGGAAAATTCACTAAGTTCTCTAAGTACGCTCCGGAATTGGTGATTAATGAGCGAAAAAGGATAAGACGTTTTGTGCAAGGACTTAATGTGGAGATTCAAGAGGGGTTAGCGGCAGCCCAAATCTCTACATTTATTGAACCCTTAGAGAAAGCACAGAGAGTCGAAAATGCACGGTTGCAAGTTAGGGACTTTCATGCTAAGAAAAGGAACACCCCTAGTTACTCTTTTGGACAAGCAAGTAAAAGTGCCCTATCTCCCAAGATGGGAAGAGGAACGGGAGGAGTAAGAACTGCTGGAGTGCCAAGAGGGGCTTTCGCAAGGGGAGGCCGTAATGGGCAAGGCCAAGTGAGAGAAACACCTTCTGGAGGTCAGGCCGTGACTCCTCAAGTTAGTTGTGGTTACTGTGGCAAGTCCAATCATGTGGAGAATGATTGTTGGAAAAAGTCGGGAAAGTGCTTGTACTGTGGCAGTGCCGAACACCAACTGTCAAGTTGTCCAAGTAGGCCGAAGGTAGGAGGTAGCACTCAAAGGCCAGAAAAGTCAACCTCTAAGTAGACTAGTGCTGGAGGGAGTCGACCTAAGGTGCCGGTTAGGGTTTATGTTTTGGACTATCAACAGATTCCTAACTCTACTGAGGTGGTTGAAGGTACGATCCCTATTTTTTACCGTTTAGCTAAGGTTTTAATTGATCCGGGTGCAACACACTCTTTTGTGCACCCTAACTTTATGAGTGGGATAGATGTGAAACCAATTAAGTTACCTTATGATTTGGAGGTTAGAACGCCTACTGGGGATCAAAGCTTAATTGTTAACTTGATGTATAGAGATTGTGAGATACGGGTTGGAGAACGGAAATTACTGGCTGATTGGATGAGTTTAGCTATTAAGGGATATGATGTCATCCTAGTAATGGACTGGTTAACTCGTTACCATGCTCAGTTGAATTGTAAGATGAAAACGGTAGAGCTGTGTATTCCGGGAGAGGCAACTCTAAAATTGGATGTAAGGGGTAGACTAGCCTCATCTGCTCTTATTTCAGGGATTCGAGTTAGAAAAATGTTGAGTAAGGGAGCTCAAGCATATTTGGCTTTTCTTATAAATACCCCTAGTGATAAAGTGAAGTTGGAGGATATGCCTGTAGTTAAGGAGTATCCGGATGTTTTTTCTGAAAAATTAGAGTCTTTCTCTCTGGAAAGAGAGATAGCCTTTAAGATTGATGTGACTTCGGGAGTAGCACCTATCTCTAAAACGCCTTATAGAATGGCTCCGGCTGAATTGAAAGAGCTGAAATTGCAATTGCAGGACCTTCTAGAGCGAGGTTTTATAAAAAAAAGTGATTTACCGTGGGGAGCTCCGGTATTGTTTGTTAAAAAGAAAGATGGTAGTTTGAAGTTGTGTATAGACTACCGAGGCTTGAACGACATTACCATCAAGAATAAGTATCCTTTACCCCACAGTGATAAATTGTTTGATCAATTGCAAGGAGCGGTAGTATTTTCAAAGTTGGATCTTAGGCAAGGTGTGAGAACCCGTAAATTCCTCTTAATAATTTTCCTAGGGTTTATCCCCTTTAATGGCATGTTTTCTGCATTTTCTGGCTTAGGAAATTTTCCTGGTGAATTTTATGAGTAATTATAGTTTTTAGATGATTTTTCTTGTATTGGAGAGTTTTTGAAAAATTAAGGATATATATCGGACGTGGGACCCACTAGTGCGAAAAGTTCAGAAAAATTCGGCCAATTAGGTTAAGTTTTGGATACTGGTTGAAATTTATCGGGTGTTAAGAGATAAGTAGAGGTTGAGATGTGATTGATGTGAGAGAGACTTAAGGGATAGAAATGCTTTAAATGTAGTGACAAGTGTCACTTGGTGAGTGGTGGCACTTGTAGGAAAACTATTCATTTTCTTGACTTTTTTTGACCAATTGCTTAAATATCTCAAAAATCACACAAAATTCACTATTGTTTTCATCTTCTTGGCTGGCTCTCTCTCAAGGAAAAGAAAGAAAACTTCTCCAAATTTCAAGCTTCCAACTAGCTCAATCTTCCATTCCAACCAATTAAACTTAGAATTGCTCCATAAAAATCCTTCTTTTGGTGGTGGTGAGTTGATTGGTGAAGTGTTTGGAGAAGCTAAGGTGTCCAACAACTCTTCCTCTCTTGTGTTCTAGGTAAGTGGTGTTTGAACTTTCTCCTACACTTAATGAAGCTTGAGTGATGCTTAATGGTGGTATAAGGTGCCACTTTATGGATTATATTGTGATTCTTGGTTGAATTGATGAACTTTGGTAATTTTGGGGATTTTTCTGTTTTAATATAAGTATGATGGTGTGGTTATCTATGATGATTGGATATGGTTTCTAATGACTATAGGAGGTGGAAAAAGTGGACAATTGCAATCAATTTCTGTTTTGGAAGAAATCTGGAAAATTAGGGTTCCTTGGTTCTTCATTCTATCCGAAATTTTAGGTCCTAGTTAGAGGCCGAATTGGCCTTGGCTTAAAACATTAAAGTTGTAGGGAATGACATTTTAGAGACACCTACAAAATTTTAGGTCAATCGGAGTAGTGTAGAATGAGATAAGTCGAAAATACTGAGACTGGTCTAGGAAGGGGTGCTGCGAACAGGGTTGCCTTTTCACTCAATTTGACCGTGACTTTTCACCCTGATCCTCACTGAAGTAGATTTTTGCAAAAACATGAAAGTTGTAGCCAAGGCTATAAACTAGTTTCCTGTAAATTTTCAGCTTGATCCGACCACTGTAACATGTGAAATGACCGAATCACCCTTGACTGTTTTTGAAACCTGTTTCGCGCCCAGATTTCTGTTTTCGTGTAGTCTTCCATTTTCGACCATGAAAATGCACGATTTGGCCTTTGAGGTCTTCTGATGAAATGTATCTTGATGTCTTAGCTACGATATGCCTTTGGAATTTCTGGATTTGGACTTGTAGAGCCTGAGTTATGATGTTTCCGCTAGAATGCGTTTTGGTGAATCTGTTTTACGTTTTTGATATAGTATCTTGCATTGTTGACCTGTTTGCACTCAAAACTGGGTTGAGTGACCTTCTGTGATGTTGTAGCCCTGTCTTTTAGCTTCGAAATGGTGGGTCTTACACCTTCATCCGATAATCATAGGGCATTTGGTGCCATTACCGCAAAAAGAAGTCAAAAACTATTTTTTTTCAGGGCCAAAGCTAATTGCATTTCCGAATTTTCTGGTTTTCTCTACTGTTTGTATATGTTCATGGAACCCTATTGGGGTCATATTTGGCATTGATTTATGATCAGTTATCGAGTCTCATTGTACTTGTTTGTATGTTTTAAGGCTTACTTTTATTCCGGTCATTTCCTAGTTAACTTTTACTTTGAGCCTAGTGAATGGCTTTTGGGAAATGAGATGACTTTTGTGTGAGATGTTGGGACTGATTTGAGAAAATAATGAAGCCTTAATGGCTGGAAAAGTAAGAAATCTAGGGGAAGTGCTGCCCGATTTTCTAGGCCGTTTGGTTCTTTAAGTTGGATTTGGCTTTTGATAGAAATGAAAGCCTTTTGGGTTGTTTGGCGCCTAGGTCTTCATGTTATCTTTTTGTTCCAAGAAAATCATGTTTTCCACCCTCGCACTAGTATTTATTTGGCAAGGCGTACGACGTGTAGTCGAGCCTCACTTGTGCATTCCGTTTAC